TAGACCACATATTAAAATTTGGTAAATTAATATAACGTGTAGAGATACCTATATTAATTACTGTGACCCTATAGAAATTCTTAAAACTGTTATTTAATTTAATTTAATTTAATTTGCATATAGATATGGAATTGAACTAATTAGATAGGCTTAACGAGAACTCGAGAGGGGTAAGTTGAATATAATAGAAGAATTCGACCAAACACTACTTTAATTTTATGAATCTCGATATTAAAAATAAAGGTGACCAATAGGTAAATTTGTTCCGCCCTAATCCCCATTTATTAATTGAATTCTAATTTTCTGTTGCATTCACGAAATTTCTAGTAGTTAGATTTAAAAATCATATTCAATTATTTTTTTATTTTCATTAAATAGAAGTTAGGAATAATAAATTGAGTACTAAAATATAATTCTCGTGGGAACGATAATTCGAACTCAAAATGTCCACTTTACTACTTGTGACGATCCGTCCACGTGCGGGAAAAAATCGATAACAAGTTTTTGACGCCGTTGCCAGGGACTATTACTTTTAGTCTTAATTTATTTTATTTTATATTATTTTTAATTATTATTTGATTTGCTTATTTTTTTATTTACAGAAAACTGTGTTCATTGTATACTCCGTGTTCAAGGCGATAATCTTGAATCGTTTGATTCGAAAATAGAACGTACCTTCAGACGAAAACCCAAGAAACATAAACAAAAACAACATCAAATGGTTGACAATCTAAACAATCCTATTCCTATACAGTCAATTGGACAAATGGCCGCGAGAGATCAACAATAAGAGCAAAGGGAAGTAAATGAAGAAAACTTGCCAGTTTTTATATTTTTTATGCCTATAGCAGCACCTGCGCGGTCCAGCATAGTATATCCAGAATTTAGGGTAAACAACCTCCAGATACGGGCTGATTGGATTAATTTGATAAGTAACACTTTGCAATTCTACGGGCTACTCCATGAAAATCCACACATATCTCAAGATTTCTCAGGAATTGTTAGAATTGTTATGCTTCCGGGGTTAATGAGGATGCCATCAAGCTGCGGTTGTTCCCTTATACACTGAGAGATGCAACATTGGAATGGTTGGATGCCGAACCTGATGGAAGTATTACACATGAAAGGAACTAACCAGGAAATTTTGCAAAAAGTTCTTCCCACCAGCTAAAGTAGCAAAAATCAAATTGAAAATTCAAACCTTTCAACAGAAAGATGGGGAAAGCTATCACGAAGCTTGGAACAGATTTAAAGAGTTGATGAGAAAGTGTCCAAATCATAGGATCACTATTGGAAATCAAGTGCATTATTTTTACACAGGACTTTCACCACTATCCAAATCTCAAGTGGATTTCTCTGTAGGCGGATCGATCATAGGGAAATCAGTACAACAATATATGGATCTATTTGAGTTGATTATTACTACTCATTCCATGTTTTCATCAGAAAAAATGGTGCCTTCAAAAGCATCGAGAATATATGAATTAGGCAGCACAACATCTATCAACGCCCAAATAGCAGCATTGACAAAACAAGTAGAGTTATTAGTCAAGTCACAAACAAAATGAGCACATGCAGTGATAACTGGCCCATCCTGTGAAAATTGCGGGGCAAATCACCTAGCAGAAAATTGCCCATCTATGGGCTTTCCGGAGGAACATGTCAACTTCATTCAAAATGGCTCTCAAAATTTTAATCCCTTTGCACAAACATACAACTTGGGATGGAGATAACACACAAACTTGAGACGGTCGGATAATCAGCAAGGAAATAGTTCAAACAATGCACAACAGGAGAAAAAACCAAGTTTGGAGGAGATGTTCAACCAGTACATATAGAAGACATACAAGGTGTTCCAACAGATTGACACTAATTTGCAGAATTAAAAAGCATCCATTAAGAAGCTGGAAACTCAAATTGGTCAGATAGCTCAATAGCTTGCAGAACGCTCACAGGGGACATTGCCAGGCAACACAATGGTCAATCCAAAAGAGCAAGTGCAAGCTATTACAACTAGAAGTGGGGTGCAACTTCCAGAGATACATGTGAAGAGACCAGACAGAAAAGATAAAGAAGTAACAGGTGAAGAGGCTAAGACAGAAGCAGAGTCTGAACAACCAACAAGGAGTATAAAAGGAAAGAAACACCCACAATGAGAGCACCCAACCCCGTGAAAGCTTATGTGCCACCAATTCCCTTCCCTCAAAGGTTACAAAGAAAGAAGTTGGACAAACAGTTTGTCAAATTTGTGAAGATTTTCAAGAAACTGCATATCAATATTCTCTTTGCAGATGCAATAGCCCAAATGCCCAGCTATGCAAAATTCTTGAAAGAGATCCTATCTAACAAAAGGAAGCTGGAAGAACATGAGACTATTTGCCTGAACGAGGAGTGCAGTGCAATTTTATTGAAAAAGCTGCCTCTTAAGATAAAATGCCCAGGGAGTTTTACGATACCTTGCACAATTTGGTCTAATTATTTTGAGCATTTTTTATGTGATTTGGGTGCCAGTGTTAACCTTATGTCTCTTTCTATTTATAGGTCTCTTAGGTTGAGAGAAGCAAAACCTACAACAATCTCTTTGCAACTGGCTGACAGATCGATCAAATGACGGAAGGGAATTATTGAAGATGTGCTAATCAAAGTTGACAAATTCATTTTCCCGGCTGACTTCATCATTTTGGACATGGAGGAAGATTCAAACATTCCTCTGATCTTGGGAAGACCCTTCTTGACTATCGGAAGAGCGCTAATTGATGTTTACGATGGAAAGATGATTTTTCGGATGCATAATGAGCAAGTCATATTCAACGTGTTCAAAGCGATGAAATATCCATTGACTTTGGACACTTGTTGCCAAATAGAT